GCCCCCCACAACGACGGGCTTGCGACCCCGCGTTTGATCGCGCATTCCGAGCTCGCACCTGACGGCAAGAGTCCAAAACACGGACGGTTGGCCTTATTTATTTCGCGAGGGGGGACACGCGCGACCGCGGCGCGGTGGCGCAGCGCTGTTGCAACGGCGGCGTGGCTAAGCCGCAGATAAATGGTCCCCTCGGATCGAATTAAATATAGACTGTCTTTTTGAGGCGGGAGCCGAGCAAGCGCGCCGGAATCTGGTCGGCGACGGCGGAGGTACGGGGACGACGAGCGCTTTGGCTGCTTCGTGCCCCTTGCGAGCGTGGACCGGGGGCACAAGGTTGCCGACCCTGGCTGACTGCGCAGGGGTGGGAGCGAGAGTATAACCGGTGGGAGGTTCGGTACCGCGCCCGAGTCGTGAGTCGGAGGAGCAGTCGGGAGGCTCGCTTTATGAGCGGGTCAGTCGGGGTCGTGATTCTCTTCCTCCCCCTCCTCGGCTCCGATTGAGTGGACTCGCTGGCGCTAGTCCGGACGTTGGGCCGGTCAGCAGCGAGCCGGTCAAACATGGGATGTAAGAGGGCATGCAGGACGTTCGTTTGGTGCGCCGTTTTGTAGCGCATCAATAGAGAGTTTTCGTAGATCGTTTTCGCCGTCCCGCAAGGCCCTCCGCAACCCGCTACGATAGCGGCAACTCCACAGTCAAGGCTATCGGCGCGCAGGCGCAGTAGCAACTTCTTCCTTGCGGAACGCTTAGCGGAGGGGGCAGCGCGGTCTACGAAAACTCCCTAATAAGAACACCTTCCGCAGACCGCAATGATTGGCCCTCCGCCTGCTCTGCGGGGAAGAAGGAGCGTAGGCAATGACTCGAAGAACGTCGCATTTAGAGGGGGCGGGATAAGACGGTGGTCCTTGGGGATCCGATTCGGCGCGCAAGCTCCGCTGCTCCTTGTCCACCTATGTATCTTTGTTTACTACCCAAATTAGCCCACGTGCGTTTCTTTCCTGAACCAATGACGGCATGAGCTTGACTGCTTCGTCATCGCCCGTTTGTCTACGCGTCATCTACGTTGCCTCTTGATCGGCCAGCCGCTCTTTGCCTTCCGATCCGCCAAAGACGCATTTTAGAACGCTTGCTCGCCGTAGACCTCGCAAGCGTAACGGCACGAATCCTCCCGAATCTTTGCAACAAGGTCAGGGTCACAAAGGATGGAAATGTGTGCTGAAGCGCCGATGAATATGGTGCGCGGTTCGGGAATCGTTTTTCCTCTTAGTTTGCTGCGGAAGGTACATGATGCAAAACAGCGGTCAAAAAGACAAAACAAACACGCTCTGCTTTTTTGTTTGTCTTTCTTTCTTTTGTCCGGTCCCTTTGAGCGCTGTTTTACATCGTGCTCCACAATCACCAACTAGCCCAACTTACAACCTTGCTGCGGAAGGTAGCGTTTTTACAATGCCACGTAGACACGATAACAGAACGTAAAGTTACACAGCTTCTTGTTTTGTCGCCCTTTATCCGAACGCTAAAGGCGACTGAAAAGGCAGGAAACGGTGTTGACTGTCTTAAGGATCATTACGCACCTTTCAGACACTATTTGACCTAAAACCTATAGTTAAAAATCACGTGATAGAGATGACCCAAAATGAATCAACACCGTACAGATACAGCTAGAAACTAGACGTGAAAGACTTCGTCAACCAAAGCTACGCTCATGAAGCAATTAGTAGCGAACCCCACGTGAAAGCACAAAACGGTCGCACCCTGAGTAACTCATTTTCTTTTACTGTGCATTTTCCACCCTCTCCCCATAATGACCAAAGGCGCAAGTTATTCGGCCGGCAGAAACATTTAAAGTACCCAATTCCATTTTCAAATGACGTTCGCGGTTTCGTATCTCTTGTGTGAGAACCCAGAGCGCAGCCAACCTGAACAATATCACATTTCAACGATGTGGCGGATTAGGTATAAGATTCAGTGCCAGGCCATTAAAACCTCAATTAAGCGAATGGGCTACTTCCAAAGATTCCTGCACACAACACTGTGCGCGTTGCACTATGGCACCTGGATGGCCATGGAGAGCATTGGCATAATTTCTGTTTCGATTTCCCCCTTGAAGAAGTAGTGCACTTCTGCATTAAAATGAAATAAGCGCGAGCTCGTATGGCACTCTTTTATCTTCATGAGGGTCCCCGTTGAAACACGGACTTCCAGCGGTCGTAAGGACCTGCCTAGGCTTAAAGGGGCACCGATAATCAAAACTGTATATTTTTTTATTATACGAAACGATTTAAAACAATGTCTAGACATTGCTTTAAAAATTCGAAGCTTAAAAAGTCCATATTTGTCAAGTAAAAAGAAAGAATTACCAAAAGCCGAATTTGAAGTTCCCGCGCGATCGGCGCCAGTGCAGTGACGTCAAAGATTGAGTCGTCCTGCAACTCGAGTTTCTTTTTGGCCTCCGAACCGTCCCAACCGGAAGTGTTGTGTTCGCCCGTACAATGCGATCAACCGCGCTTCTCTGTGCGTGCCGCCTATCGCTGTGAGCAGACAACGGTTCACTTTCAAGTTTGAAGTTCTATTAGGACCCTTGACGATCGATGCCGATTGATGATTAACGCCCGGTGACGATTGAGCGGAACGACATCGTCGCGAGGCGGCAAAAGTACCTGCGCTACTTCGCACGATACGGAGATGAGGGAAGAAAAAGTGTCTACTTCGTGTCATCGAGGGTGACAGGGCATGATTGTAACCTTGACGAGCATAGCGTCCATGTGCAGCAATGATAGGACGATGCAATCATTGCTTACATGATTTGCCAGGCGGCTGATCACAAACTATGAGACTTTGCATTAGCACCACCTTTCACAGATAAAGAAATACTGCTTCAAAGGCGTCACCTCAGATCCTTCATTTAATAAAGCCAGCAGAGGAGTAGACGAAGTCCGGTGAGGCAGGGCGGTGGTTGTCTCACTCGAGCATCTCACGCAGTGTAAAGCACCGAAAGTATGAGCACAGTCTTTTCGTGGTCGCCCCAATGAAAACACCTTGAGGGAGTTGGCATTACCACGAGTTTGTGACGGTACGTGTCAGGGGTATAAAGAAAACGAAGAAAGGAAAAGCAGTGCCGACAAATCTTCCACCGGTCGCGACGGCACATCGTCTACACACTCGACCAAGCGCGGGGACGTTGGCACTCGTCGGCGGCTCAACAGGAGAATTCTCATATCGCAGAAAAACTGCAGGGCGCAAAATGCGGATACCGACATAAATGTACGACGAGAGTGAAGTAAAGTGCAGAAAAGATCACTGCGAGACGCCGGCAGCACCCAGTCGGCACTGCGCTCGGCGACCCCGGCGTCGCAGACCGCGTTCACCGCGTTCGTTCGTCAAGCACGCGAAGAGCAAGTGATCATCGACGGTATAGAGCGGGAAGAAAGCGCGCTCCCTTCCTCAATACGGGCGCGCCTACGTCACAATACGGGAACCCAGAAAAGTTGAACTATATGAACTGTCGATACGCGGTAGCGGAACTCGTCAAAACGGAGCAGTGACGTCAGAACCAGGAATGTAAACGCGTTCCGGCGAACGTAAGAGAGTGTCTGCCTGAACCGCGCTTCAGCGAGGAGTAACTGTACTGCTGGCCGCGTCCCATGCCTTTCTGGCCGCCTGGCTACCACTCCAGAGTGCTGCATGACCCTTCTGGTTCACGGAGAATTTCAAAAGCCGAGGACATTGAGGAGACGATGGAACAGGATGAACGGTCCAGTATACTTCTTCCACGTGACATCAAAGTCCTGTGTTTACCCAAACACAACCTCTGGCACGTCGGGAGCCTCAAAAAACGTGTCACAGCATTCCATCCGTACTGGTAGACAACACGGTATTACAAATTTAAGGAGAGCCACATATTTGGAAACACAAGCACTGTATTTCGTCGTGACGGCATGCCGTGAAGTAACGCTCGCACACCAAAACCGTAGTGGCCAATGGGTACCCAAGATGCTTTGCGCGGCACTAAGTCGCTAAGATAGCTTCGATTTTGGAAGAGATCTATTCCAGTTCCTAGGATTTAAATATCCTTTCGTGACAATTTCAGTAGCGGGTTTAAGTTTCCCATCACTACGCCCGAAAAAAGCCCGTGCGTCTACGTTCCCGCACAACATTCGGAGAGCCAATCACAGCAACTTACGAAGGCAGCTCAGCGAATGAAGATGCCGAAACATACAACCAAAAAACGCAGTCTGAGTTGTGACATTAAGCAATGCGAGTGTGACGTTTTGCATTGCTTAATATCAAAACTCGGACTGCGTTTTTTTAGTCTTAAAATATGTTTCGGCATCGTCATTCGCTGAGCTGCCTCGGTAAGTTGAGGAGATTGGCTCTCCAGGTCTTGGGGGAGGGGGGGGGGGGGGGGGGGAGCGGGAAAGTAGACGCACGTGATTTTTTTAGAGTGCTGGAACTGTTGAATAGTAACGGCGAGTTAGTCGAGCTTTGTTATCCGAAGTCGCTGCTGATCTGACCAGAATACAAACTTAAGGACTGCTAGAATGCTACAAGGGAGAGTGCAAACTACAGGCCCCATGTTTCGGGTGTCTTTGCAGTAATTAGGTCGGCAGACGAAATATCAGTTACAATGATTGTTTACTGAGATGGGCGCAGGCACACGAAAAAGTTCACAGATACAAGATGGCTACACTAGGTGATAGTGCATCAGTTGGACACAATCGAGCTGCGTCCATGCGTCGACGAAAGCTTAAGAAATAGCTCCCTAGATCGGCGGCCGCGAGTACAATCCAATGGTCGGCCACACGCGATCTTCGCGCACATCGTACGTGCCCACTTGGTTGGTCGCACGGCGAATACAGTCGCATCCTTTCTTTCTCTACACATAGTTAGCAACACATTTCACGTATCGCACGGATCCTCGGCGGAAGATTTCTGCCCCCGAAGGGCGGCCATTCGAGATTCCCGACGCGTGGCGCCGGGAAAGAACCAGTCGAGGGGCTCACCTGTCGCGCAGCGCAAGGGCGTCGCCGTCCAGCGCCGCGGAGCCCGGCGCAGAGGGGCTGACACTGCGCCGCTGCGAGGCCCCGGAGCGCTTGGCGCCGTCTCGGGCTTTGGGCGAGTCGTCGTCCAGGCTCGAGCTGCTGCTGTCCGGTAGCTCGTAGCGGGCGTGAGTGCGCATGTGCCGCGTGATCATGTCCCGGCGGCAGGCGGCGTACGGACACAGCGGACACTTGTAAGGTTTCTCCCCGGTGTGCGTTCGCTGGTGCGTGCTGAGGTGGTCGCTGCGACTGAACACCTGGCCGCACACCTTGCACGTGTACGGCTTGATGCCCGTATGCAGCCGCATGTGGCGAGTGAGCATGTCGCTGCGCGCGAACGAGCGCTTACACACGTCGCACACGTACGCCTTCGTGGTGGACGACGCGTCGTCATGCGGACCGCCGTCCCGCGTCGCCTGCTGCTCGGTAGGCTTGGCCTTGTGCCGCGACGCCATGTGCTTGGCGAGTCGATCGTGCTGCGTGAACATCTGGCTGCACACGGGACACACGTAGGCTCGCGGGCTCCGGCCCCCGGCGTCGGACGACGCTACCAGGGCCGCCGACGAGGCTCGTGCCCGGCGTGCGGGCTTGTCGCGTTCTGTGGTCGACGTCGGCGTGCGCCGGAACGCTTCGCGCCGCTCCTGGAGTCTGCTCTTGGCCGCAGCGCCCCGATCAACGGGGGGCTGGCCGCTATCGCAAGCCGGGCTCTTGGGAAAGACCGGGCCACCCCGCACGAGGTCCACGGGGCTGACGTCGGGCTCGCTCAGCCGCGGGCTGCTCGGCTCGCACTTGACGGACAGGTCAAGCGGGCAGTCCTGAGGCATCGGCGAATCGGGGCATGGGCCCGTGGACTTGTTAAGGAGCTGGGAAACCCGGAGCGGCCGCGGAGGTGGGACGGCGTCGGTGGTACGGGCCGCTTCTGCTGGCGGCACGGGTGTGGCGGCCTCCCAGTGGGACTCTGGGTCCGAGTACGCCCTGCGCCGAACCACCTCCGGCAGCAGGTGGGCTTGCAGGACTTCGAGGACGCCAACGGGCTGGACCGGGGACACCGGTGTGAGCGGAGAGACAGGTGACGAGGGCTTGATGCCCTCCAGAAAGCGGCGGTCCTGGTCGTCCCAGGGAATGACTAAAGGCGGCGGGTGGTGGGCGCCGAACCTGCCGGACGCCGCGTGGCCCGCCAGCAGTCTGCAGTGGCGGCAGTTGCAGATGGGGAATGTGGGGGGCGGAAGCGCGGGCTGCTTGGATGACGGCCTGCCCATCGCGCTCCTGGACTCGAGGAAGGGCAGCGGGGACGCCGTCTGGGGCGCCGGATCCGCCAGGAACAGGTCGCCGGCGCTGCCGTTTAGGAAGCCTTCTTCGTCGTCCACCACGTCGGGACTCGGCATGCCCCGGTGGGACTCGGCGCTGCCGGCGTCCGTACCAGCCGACGTGGCCGAGTCCGAAGTCGGTGGAGTGAAGAGGCCGTTGCGGGGCGACTTGGACGGCGTGCAACGGCTGGCGTCGTCGTCGTCTCGCGGACTACAGCGCCTTTCGATGGACGACAGCACCCCCCTCTCTTCGGGGCTCTGCAGGGAGCAGGGCCCCACGAGGAATCTCTTCTCGGCCGTGCGCGGCGGGCTCGGCATCGCGGCCGGCTCAGCGGACGGCACCCTAGCCGGCTGCTTCGGGTGCAACACGTGGTCGAAGCGCAGCGGGGCCTCGCCTAGCGTCCGGTCGCAGTCTGCGCTGCTGCCGTTGCTGCTGCTCTCGCCGTCCACGTCCGGAGACGCGCGGCCAGGTGCCGCAGTCCGACTGCTGTCGTCGTCCGAGTTTCCCCGGCGCTCGACTTGGATGGCGAGCTTGTCGAGCACGGCACTGAGACGCTTCCTCTTGCGCGAGTTCTCGGACACGACAGTCTGCTTGGGGTCTTCCTCCTGACTGCTTGTCATCGTGGAGTCGTTGCTGTCCGCATGGGCCATTCTAGAGCGCTCTCCGGGAGAGCTGCGTCGGGTAGCGCGCCCAGCGCGGTGTCGTCGGGTCCATGCGACGTCAGTGGCTCGAAGAAGCGCCTCTTGGTGTACCTTCTGGGACTGTGGCAGACGGAGGTCCGAGCGGTCCCAAGGCAGCACCTCAGGCCAGCAGCGCGTCAGCACCTGCGCCATCGACACAAGACGCCGTGTTCAGATCCCCGGTGTCCCTTCTACGGTTGCGCCCTAAGGCCACACGGATTAATGGAAAACATACGCGCCTTCTACGAGCCACATCCTTCTCGCGTCGCGGCCAACCACTCAATTGTACCGAGACAGAGAGAGTCGGCTATGTAGGGAGTTTTACTGGGAGTTGGCATTCAAGACCCTCATCAATCCACTCGTGCGATGACGCTGCCCTAAACGCCCCTGCTCCGCGCCCCAAAACAATCGGAAGACTGTTCTGCGTGCCTCCGTCGAGGATGACGACGCAAAACAATTAATTATTAATCACACAGTATAACAAGGCATTCGCTGTCTGAGGTATTTCAAAGTAAGCTCAACGCGCTCCTCTACACCCTCGTCAAAAAGAATGCCTTGCGTCGTGATTTCAAGACCCTTGCATCCCCCTTCTGCACCAACTTTCTCATCCTGCCTGGCTCGTTGAGTCTCGCCTCGCTCAAGCCTGGAGCAGCCACTGAGCACCGCGGCTGAGCCAACAACAATGGTTCCTAGCGGAAAACGAACAAAACGAGAGGAGGGACGACAGCGTCCCCCCTTTGCACCCCCCCCCCCCCCCCCCCCCCCGTCCTGTTCCCGAAGCTCGGCGGCTGTTTTCTTCTTTTAATTTTTTTTATATACCGTTGGAAGAGCACTTAGATAGACGACGGCACCTGGTTCACACCATCGGTAGAGGAGAGGCCTGGTGCAAGCGACGTGACTATCTGAACCGAACGGAGAACAGAACCGTATCCACGTTTGCCCCACCCGGGGAGCAGAGGACAAGCGCGAACGCACAAAGGTGGCAGCATTGACAATGGCTCTCCTTCGGTGAGCCTCGGCTTGAACTCGAGGACTAAGCAGCGTGGATGCAACAGGTTGCGCCACAGGTTGCCGATACGCGCGGAGCGTTTCCTCTCCCCACGAGTGCGACGGCATGCAAATGGGCGGTCCATCGGGATTACGCCACTGGAGGCTTTAAATTTTCGGTCTTAGAGTCGTTTTCGAGTTGCCACGTATCGGCAGACGGAGACGGAGGACGTTCCTTTAAGAACAGTACGACCTGCACGGTGTGTGAAAGCCGCTTATCGATGCTCCTCCGCCCTTACGATGTGACGAGGGACCGCATGTGTTGTATCCGATCGATATCAACGTCCGCGGTGTATGTTTTCATGTAAGCAGGTGGACTGACTACACAGCCTTGTGCGTTGTAAAAGGATATCAGAATCACGAAAAAGCGATATTACGAGAGGCCTACCGCTGCCCTGAGACACTGCTGAACGATATCAACCGATATTCAAATCTAATTCGTCCATAATTATATGACGCACGTAAGCGATAGTTCTCCCTGACCCAGACTGTTTCTATTCTCCTTGGGCTTGGCCTCTAAGTTCAAGTTATTTACTAGGAAGGAGGAAAACCACAATTTGGTAATGTAATCGAAAACCGTACGGAACAATGTCAGCCAGATAAAAATGTGCACGAATCGTTCCACAGTTCGTGTACGCACCGCAATGAACAATCCCGCGCAAGAGAACGCGCAATACAGTCTAGAAGAAAACAAGAAAAAAAAAAAATGTGAACGGAAAACAAGAAAAACGAGTGCTTCTTCTGCAACCAAAAACAGCAACCGTGTGACGCTCACGGGGTGGTCACAGCACGTGCGCGTTGCCCGGCAAGGATAGATTCTGCAGACGAAAAATCGTATAAAGCCAAAAAAAGAAAAATAGCAACTGCGACATGAGGGAAGACCTGATAGGCGACGGTGCCATCGCGCGGACGGTCATTGGTATGCGTGGTGGCGCGTCCACGGAAACTCCGCCGGTTTATTCGCAACGCCAGAAGTATTCCCTTTCGATGGCACTCGATGCGGCAGGTCCGCTGGCCCGAGGAATCGCCCCCACCTCACCTTGCGCCCGGAGGCGACTCCAAGACGGAGAGGGGAGCTTCGTTTTCTCCCCAGTCTTCGAGAGCGGGAGCGAGTGCGGGCCGACCGATCACCGATGCGTTCCGGAGAGTCGGGCTTGCTCCCCCCGAGGGCTGTCCGGTTCCAGGCATGCAGATATTGGTCGTCCGTTACGACTTTACGCGACGGACATACTAATTGCCCCGTGTTTGTTTCGTGGCGGCGGGTACGAAGCGGAGGCTTGTTTTGGCGCTGGCCGCTTCTTCTCCGCGCGTGTACACTCGGGAGACGGTCATGTGGTGGCCGGGGGCTGTTGGACTTCGGTCGCCCGCGGCGGCGTGGCGAAATACAACAAAAAGAACACGAGAGAATGCTTCGTGGTGGCATCGAATTGGGTTTACGGACGATTTAGTATCATGCATGTGTGTTGGTATCAGTGTGCGTGCGAGCGTGTGCCTCTTGCTCTCCCCCTCTCACTGGTTTATGTATTCCGCGTGACCATGCGAACGACGTCGCATGAGCGCAATCAACGCGACAGTCGTGTTAGGCATCGAGGACATATTGGCGAATGTTTACGCAAGTTAATCTGTCTTTATCTGCTGAAGGATACGACAGGGGACATGCGTACAATTGCGTTCGCTCACCGATGTACTCATGCGTCTACTTCACCGCAAGGCATGCGGAGAGCACGTGGAGAACCTATAGAGAAACATTCACTTAGAAATCACGCTGAACTTTTTAAGCGTCACCTGTGTCTCGGCGCAAGTCGCATTCCTTGTTTGACACTTTTGCCTCGGCTGTAAGCAGGGCAATTGCAGCACTACATGGACGACTGACAGTGACTTCAGTAAGGAAATCGCAACTCGGCCGACTCCGTCGTTATAAAACAAAATCTGACTGCCGCAGGGAATATATATATATATATGCGCGTAAGTCTTTCGCCGCGGTTAAAAACATAAGCAGGTCTGGATTTAACCCTTTCGAAGTGTGGATTGCGCTCATGTCAACACGGTCAGCAACTTCCTCCTTTGTCTCCTCCTGGGTTGGCGAGGCGTGCTGAACTACGTACACGATACACGGACGTCGTCCGCATAAGAGGTCCCACACGGCAGACGCCTCGGCACGCCGCAAAGTTGCCACTACGTACTTTTCACCCCGCCTGCGTCAATAGAGCGAAGGGAAGCTGTCTGTTTCAAAGCAATTAGCATAATGGCTCGGGTAATGAGCGGCAGACGATCCCTTTAATGGGGCAGCGTCGTACAGCTGAAGGCGGCTGTCGTCAGTGTGCGGGCAAAAACAATGAGGCCCTGGCGTGCGCAAACAAAGACGTGTCCTTTTACGTGCCGGAATTCCGTTCACGGGCAACACCGCAGCCCGTGACGTCGTCCTCTCTCCCGCGTAGTCAGCCAAGCGCTGCCTGGCGGAAAATCGCCCGTCGTCCGACAAACTAGGGGCAGTTAGATGCTCAACCACCGTGCCAGAACTAATGATCGGCGAATGTCCATAAGTGAGTAGCGGACATCTTCACGCTCCGATGTGGCCCCTTGAGAGGCCCATGAAAGCTGCTTTTCCCGTTATCTCCCCCCGGGCCGTTCGCTCGGCACTGTCGCCCCGGCAGAGCGGGGCTCTTCCGACCCGCCGCCAAGGTTCCGGCTAGTCAACGGAAAATGAAAAGTGCCGCTGTGTGTCTGTGTGTGGCGGCTCCAGCGAAGCGGCTTCCCGATCTGCATTCACAGCCTCGTGGTCAGGCGGTGTAACATTTTCTTACAACCACAAAAAAAAAAAAAAGTTTTGTTAGCGCGAGAATGTGACAATAAGTGATGCAATCAAGACACTGTCAAATATATATTTCAGCTATTTATTCGTACCCAACCAAACATTGACAGCTCCTGACCAAGTCGTAACACATCGAAATGTACTGCGATAAAAAAAAAAACAAAAAAACTACCCTTTAATTTGATTTAGCGGCTCGCTTCATTTCTATCAATTTACAAGAAACATTTATTTTCACAAACACTCAGCAAATATATCTGCCTAAAACCACTCTTTGGCCGCCGTGCACTATCTTATATTGCGCGCGGAGCGTCAGTGAAGATACCACGTCCAGAATTAAAGCACCTTGTTAGGATCTTAGAATGCGGCTCCGTACGTTTCCACAGCAGAACGACACAGCAGCGCTCTAATCTGGTAACCGTAATTATGAATATAAAAACAATAAATCCTCACGTTTGAGTAGCCCACAAATTCCCCTTAACTTCTGGTCACGCGCGCGCAAATGTTTAGCTTCGCTTTTGTATAGTCAACACCGACTGTGGGTTATAGTCAACACGACTGTGGGGCTAGGTGTACCGCTGATAATCAGCGGTACCACCTAGCCCCACAGTCGCCATTAGGGAGGTTTAGCAGATGGCTTTTGGCATTCCGATAACGACACCCGATAATCCGCCGGCGCCAATTCGCTCGTGCGCCATATCGCCATCCGGTATCGTTATCGCCAGCGCAGAAACTCTCATACAAAAGTTCCTATAGATCCTGACGGAGCCTCCGTTTTGTATCCCATCCGCCATCTTGTCAGGGCAACGGAAAAGTTGCAAGGGTTCAGTGGACTGAACGCCCCGACGTCCACGTGCTCATTGCACACTGAGCACCTCGGAAAAACAAAATCTCGCGCCCGCAGACTGTGCTCAAAACGGGCCAGACCAAGCCAGACGATTCCGGGGTTTAACGCGCACAGCCTAATTGAGCACAGTCAAGGAGGCAGCTCGTCACGCATTGAGAGATGTGTGAAATATTCAGTAGCAAAAAAATAGGAAGGAAGGAAACAGTAAAAGTAGGAAAACGTGAACTATATCAAAATCATTTTTTTTTTCACGTGCCAAACAACTGAAGGGCATCTGAACACCTCAGTGAAGAACCTTTAATTAATTTCCACCACCTGGGGATGCCTTGACGTGCAACCGAAAGCTCGGTTACACTGGAAAACGATGAACTGGTTCGGTGCCGTACTCGGCGTCTCTCGCCGCGTGTCTGGTCCCATACGTCACAACGAAGCGCAGCAGGT